AATCGTATTTTATATAAATCAGAGAAAACATTTTTTGTCGATAGATAATACACTAGAGGATCCAAATATTTTTTGAATACACTTGAAAATTATCAGGAATAGAAAATATGAACTTACGCAAAATTGATCGGATTTTATGATTGATGTCCCTATTAAAAAGGTTTAATTACTAACATATCTAATCAGACATTCAGAGTTTGATGCTTCAGAACCATTTAGGATTTCAGGTGTATCGGAAAGGTATTTAGGAACCTTTATATCATAATGAGCTAAGACTTCAGATATAACCAGAGCTATTCCATTATTTAGGTCATCAGGGGTATTTCAGACACTTTGATTTCTAGTGGATTCTTAGTAACTTAATCCAATAAGGGTGAAACGATGATTTATGATATTCAAGATTCATGTCGTTTTATTAGGATATCGGGTTAACTCGAACTGAACAAATCCCAGCACATCGATACCCGTCAACCACTCAAATCGATGCTCTTCAAGAATATTCACACTTTAATATTGATAACACTAGTCGAACTGATCATCTTTAGAACCATCATTGAACGGATTGTACGTATTCAGATGGTATTTATTTTATTTATGTATTGCAACAATCTCCAAGATGACCAACGTACTTGAGTCGTACTCCACAACCTTTAGGGGATATATAATACTTAGGTTTTCTCGGTGTTTCCAGAATTATCCAATAACATTCATTTATTTCTAGCTCATAAGGATATTTGGGTCATTTTCATACTCGATGTTACTTGGTCATTTAAAGTTCAAGGTATTTCGATCTTTTTAAGGTTCACGAGTATTTTGGTCCTTTGAATATTGGAGGTTATTTTAGTTATTTTACAGCTCGAGAACATTTAGGTAATTCTGTTCAATCCAAATATATGTACTTTTTTCTGGTAATTTGGTCAAGTATGTCATTTCATGGTTATTTTTCACTTTCAAGGACAATATTGGTCTTTTTGTAGTACGAGGGCATTCTCGTAATTTTACTCCATAAGGCTATTTTTGTAATTTCTTATCCAAGTATTCTCGATATTTAATCTTTAAAGAAATTAATCAAAATTTACAGATTTTGAGGTCAATTCATTTATTAATGAATCACTTAACTTATAATTATTTTTGATCGGTCTTCTAGTTTCTTATGAGAGTCATCTGAGTCTTATACAATTTGTTGTCTTTTTACCATAATTTTGTTCGATTCTAGAAATAATTAATTATACCTAAATGACCAATCATTCCATCGATGCAGTTACCAATTATCAACAAGTTCTGGAAAGCATTACCTCAATTTTTCGTGTCAAGTCAGTTGACTAATTGAACCCCAATCGATCACTCTCACACTTGATTTCCATGTCTCATAATATCTTGGATACATAGCAAAAGAATTTACTTCAGAAACAAAACTTAATCGAGAAAACTATTCGAATTAGAAATTAAAATACTGAAAAACAACTTACCGAATTTAAATTTGGCTAAACAGACTGGAAATTCAGGCTTATAACGTCAAAAAACATAAAATGTGACTTTCGAAAAAGTTAATTTTTTGGTTAAAGTCAACAATTAAAACAATCAAAGTCAAAGTCAATGGGTCTGGTCAACGGTCTGGGTCAAAGGTCAGTAGGTTGACTCAGTCTAAGTTGACTCGACTGACTCGGGTGAGTTGGCTTGGGTGCTGACTTAGTCAACCTAAAGTCCCGGTAGAAAAATGTCCACATGCAATGATGACACGTGGCGGCGCGTTTGACGGGCGATGGTGGCGGGGACGATGATCAATCACTCCAAGAGGTACCAAACACCAAAATCAACAAATAACATATTAGATATTAAGCCGAAACAAGATAAAATGATCGGAAAAGAATCGAAGGCTTACCAAAGCAACAGTCAGTGAACCAGCGATGGTGGAGAGACGAACCCGGTTGGGTTTTGGTCGAAACAGATAGGGGAGCTCGATGATGGTGGCAGTGAGGCTAACCGACTGTCGATTCATTCGAAAATCACATAAAATAATGCCCCGACGATTTGGGTTTCACGAAACTTCGAACAACTTTTGCTAGCCAACGATGATGATCCATTACAAATTAATTGAGGGGTTGGACGACAGTCACTTCAGCTGATGCGGTGCATGGCACGACCAACGGGAATGGCTGAAAATAGCAAAGATGGCGTCGGGGTTTTAAATTTTCGATGAAGCTTTCGTGGAGATCTCCATAGGAAACAACAGAGTTTCACGAAGCATGGTCGGTCGGGTTTTGTTCGTCGAATAATGGCGATCACATCAGTAGGTTCGGTGACAATCACGACGTTCAGATGGTGATTGAACGGAAAGGGAAATAGCGACGATTAAAGCTCTCAATTTGGGAATTTTGTGGTTAGGGATTTAGCCTAATATTTGATATGAAATTGGTTTTTGAATTAAAATGAGTATGCTAGTTAATAAAGTGATAATTTTATAATAAAAATCTTAAATAGTAACCTAGCCTAAATGGCTAAGGCTTAAGGTGATTCTTCTAGAAGTCACAAGTTCTAAACCCACTAAATATATTTTTTCCTTTGTTGACTTGAAATGGTTAAATTCGGGGATAAATGCTTGAACTTTCAGGGGAATTTGAAAATTGTCTTAAAACTTTAGAAATTTATAATTTGGTCCAAAAATTAATTAAATAAAAACAAATTTGAATCGAATGAAAATTGGGACGTGCCACTAATACTTTGACGAAAATAATGATCAACTTTTAAGGATAACAGGTGATTCGATGAGTTTGATTTTTAGGGATAGAGGGGAAGATGGACATTGGAAGATTTGTGGGAAAGGAAAAATGTTTGCCTAGGTGGTAAATTGGGCTTGAGAGTATGGATGGAACAAATTAAGTTGGGTGGGGATAATCATCCGCCTGAAAATTTAAAATTATTATATATTTTAAATTTTTAATGTATTTTCTATTGAAAATATGTTTTTGTTTCTCTAGAATTTTATTAGTTCGTCCCTTTCTCTGTTTTTAAAAGTTTACCCCCTAACATAAAAAATACGTTCATCCCTACTTGAGATTGAGGCCAGATTAAATCCGAGTTTGAATTTAGATATAAAATTTTAAATATGTTGGGTTTAAATTTGGGGTCGATATTAATTAAGATTTTGGTTTGATTGAACAAAAGTGTTTACATCGATGATACAATGGTTTAAATTTTAATTTTTTATAACGGGAGGAAACTATAAGTAAAAATATTAAATTTTATTAAATTATTTTAAGGGTAAAGTACGCAAATGGTCCCTGATTATAGGGTATCATTTTATTAAGTCATTTGACTATTAAAAGTTATAAAATAGTCATCCTACTATTTATATATTTCAAACTTATCATTTTTGTTAAAAAATTTGACCACCGTTTGAGCTAGACATTAACTTGTTCACTATAATATAATAAAATCATATTTTCATAATGTATACAGGCACAACGTTGCTTTCAAGCATTGGCTCGACGAAATAATATTTCAAGCATTGCTCGAGGACATAATAGAAACGGAGACTCGATCCATAAAATACAACTCAGACGGTTCTAAAATCATATTATATCATATCTTAGTCAACAAATTAACATTTAGATTAGACGATCATCAATTTTTTAAAAGAAAATGATGAATTTGAAACATATAAATAGTTGAGTGACAATTTTGTCTTAATAGTTGAGGGACTCAACAAAAACAAAATCTTATAATCGGGACCATTTTATGTACTTTACCCTTTAAAAGTTTATTGTAATTAAATATTTGTATTTTTAAATTTATATCCAAATTTTCTAAGGGGATAAAGCAATGTCCAAAAGTGTAGGAGTGACAACGACTTTATTATTTATTTTATTTTGCTTCTGTTTTTCAAAAGGACGTTATCATTAAAGGTTGGAGATTCGTTTCCTAAAAGATGTTTTGCTTAAAATCTGAAATCAATAATATAATTAATCGAAACTAAATAATCCATAATATAATTGAAGAAATTATTGTTGGACTTAAAACTAAATAAAATTTATTGTTAAGGGTAAGTTCTTTACTGTTAATTTTTTGAACAGATATAATAGATAATTAGAAATGTCTATTTTTATTAAAAAAATAATATGAAAAACTGAAATATATATATATTAAAAATAAAGTTAATTTAAATAAATAGAGAAATTTATTTATCCAAATATAATTTAGAAAAACGTAAACAATGGAGAGAACACTTTTCGAACAACTAAAGCAAAACCCTAACTTATAGCTGATTAATTGAACATTCATGAACTTACGACTTTGCATTGAACTCAAGTAAAGTGAAACTATATACGCTTAGTTTCAAAGAAATATTTGACAGCTATTTGGCCAAAAATATATTAAAGGTCCAATTCAATTTTTTAATCCCTCTACTGTGTTGAAATTTAATATTTTAATTCTTCTACTTTACATAATTCAATAATCTAGTCCCTAAAGTGTTGACATATTTTTATCGATATAATGCTAAAATTAGTCCCTAACATTTATTTGAATATTCATTTTGATTACTATTATTTTTTAGAGCATATTAAACTCTAAAGTTTTAGTTTTTTTATCAAAATGACACATGTGGAATGAAAACTGTTGGTTAACTTACAATAAATGCATGTTAGTGACGTAGTATTTATATATGTGCTTAATTGCTGTCATGATACATGTAAAAATCATAGCATGTGTCTCAAATCTTAAAGTTTAACGTTGTAAAGGGACTAAAATCATATTTAGACCACAAAATCCCCCTGAAATCAAAGCATATAATTGCTAGTTTATTCCTCTAAAAACCTTATCTTGATACAATTTGTGTAAGATCAAAGCAAGGAATCGTAACTCCAAAGTCCAGGGTCTGGTTCATGCTGACAAAACCCTTATAAATAGTTTCATTTTCGGCAACATTTTTCATCATCTCTTACCACTCCAAAAAAAACACAGAAGAAAACATTTAACAAGTGTGTCAAATCGACAATAAGATGAAGACACATACTATATTGTCGGTTTTCATCTTATTGCTATGCACTGAAGCCGCCATTGTGCACGGTGCTGATAAGGGGAACGGCAACAGCGACGTTGAGTCTGGTAATTCTAAGGGGAAGCGCAACGGAAATGACAATGGCAATGGCAAAAAGAAGAAGAAAGGCGATGATGAAAATTATGACAACTTGTCACCGTCGAAGTATGGGCAAGAACGAGCCTACTGCAAAGGGAAAAGTGCTTGTTACAAGAAGACACTTGTTTGCCCATCTGAATGCCCTCAAAGGAAACCTAAGAATAACAAGAAGCAAAAGGCTTGTCATATTAACTGTGGCAGCAAATGTGAAGCCACTTGCAAGTGTAAGCATAATCCCTCTAAATTCTAAACCCTAAATCCTAAACCCTAATTTTAAATATACCTAACTAAGGTTATAAATGAGTCGAGTCGAGTTCGAGAATTACTGAACACAACTTCGTTTGAAAAGTTTAAAACTGAGCTTGACTCAACTCGAAAGCTCACGAGATTAAAATTATCATGTTCGAGTCGAACTCGAAATAAAAAATTGAAGCTTGATTCGAGCTTGAAAAAATTTTAATTCGAAATATTCCGAGACTTAGCTTGATTGAAGCTCAAACTCGAGTTCGGTTCAAGCTCGAACTCAAATTCGAACCTGAACCTTAATTACATGAAATACTTATATTATATTTAAAAAAAATAAATATAAATATTCATATTATTAATAATTTAATTTTAAAAAAATAAATGTTTACTTTACTATTTTTTCGAGTTTTTTCGTATCATTAAGAATTTCAGTTGAGTTCAAGTTCAACCTCAAATCCATTCAATTTAAATATTAATCAAACTTTAACTAAGTCAATTTTTCGTGATCTATTCCATCTTATTTGGAGCCTATACTTAATAAACTAGCTTGGACTGATTCTAAAATTCTCATTTTAATTATGTACGTTTTCAGGGAGGAAACCAAAATGTGATGGCTACGGTTCTCTTTGCTACGACCCTCGTTTCGTTGGTGGTGATGGAGTTATGTTCTACTTCCATGGAGCAAAAGATGGGAACTTCGCCATTGTCTCAGACGATAAGCTTCAAATCAATGCTCATTTCATCGGCACCCGACCACTAGGAAGGACTCGTGATTTCACATGGGTGCAAGCCTTGGCCGTCATGTTCGACACCCACACTCTCGTCATTTCAGCAAATAGAGTCTCGCACTGGGACGACGACGTCGACGCTATCACCGTCCAGTTCGACGGCGAGACCGTCAATGTCCCGTATGACGGAGAAGCAGAATGGAACAACGGCGACGCATTGGTCGAAAGAACCGACGACAAAAACAGCATCCAAGTCAAGATATCCGGATTGGTGGAGATGCACATAAGGGTGAGACCAATCGGGAAAGAAGAAAACAGGGTTCACAAGTATAAAATACCAGAAGACGATGCGTTTGCTCACTTGGAAACGCAGTTCAAATTCGAAAACTTGAGCGACGAAGTTGAAGGAGTGTTGGGAAAAACGTACCGCCCAGGGTACGTTAGCCCGGTGAAGAGAGGAGTGCCGATGCCGATGATGGGCGGGGAAGATAAGTACCAAACCCCATATCTGTTCTCGACTTTCTGCAATGCTTGCACGTTCAAGAGGCCATCTGGATCACTTGCCACTATCTGATTTGGGCTTCATTTTCTTCATCTTCATGCTGCTAATGATCAACACGAAGACTAAACTTGTTGTCTGCGGTGAACCAATTTGTTTCAATTATCATGTTTTGCATGTTTTTACATTTTATACTTCTGATATTGTAAAAGAATAAGGGCCATATGAAAATTGCCCACTCTATTATTTTTCACGTACTACGAATATTTCTTAATAATAAATCATTAAAACCCTACTACATTGAACATAGGTTATAAGAGGATTGTTAAAATCATTAAAACCCTAAACTCTCAATTTTTAAAAAAATTATATATCAAACAGATCGTATCATAAACTTTTAAATTTTACTAAACGAAATTCAAATAACAGTCCATATTTTTTCATTCTTTGATCATCTTCGCATATCTTTCAACGATTCATTAAAGAAAAAGGATAGGAGATTGCCATGATGCAGGCCAGCGCCCATATCTCTAAAAAGGGGCGCCCATATCCGTATAGAAATGTAATATTCTGTACTTAAGGTCCTAAGGACGTGAGTTCGAATTAACGTGTCAAACTATATATTTTAAAATATAATATAATTTCATTAGATCATATCGTGACATAAAAATATCTATTAATGTATGGTATGTAACATGTTTTTCTTCTTTCTGTTTAAGGATGTAAATTTGAATATAACAAAAACACATCGGGTAACTAATAGATGTACATTGTACATGTACTTATGGTTTCTCATATTTTCAGAAGTAATTTATATCACACATTAATTTTTTTAATTTAAAATGAAATGTCCCCACTTGTTGTGACATTCTCTTTTACAACAAGCCATGCAATCTAAGCTGGCGCCCCATGAATTTGTCGTTTGTTTAATGGAGTTGACTTGAACTATTCTCTCTAGAACTTAGTTAATGCAACTTGTCATTACTGAAAGTTTAAGTTTCTGGAGTTTCAAGAGAAGACTATTCAGGGTTTACCGGAAGAGGAAGAAGAGAAGAGTATTCAAGTAGTAATATTAAAAGGGTGTGGGCGGTCTAGCTGTGTGGGTAGAGATGATCGAGGCGGCGGATGGGTCAATCACTCCTCTAAAAATTTAAAATTAATATATATTTTAAATTTTTTTCTATATATATTTTTGTTGAAAATCTACGTTCGTCCCTCAAATTTTAAAAAATAATACATTTTTAAAATTTTAAAAATTCATCCATCTAATATAAATTTATCTGTCTGTCATGAGTGCGGTCAATGCGCACCGGAAAAACTTTATTTATTTATTCTACGAAACTATGGGATGGGATCGATGGCGCCGTTATCGGAGGCTTGGGTCACATGATAAAGCGTTGATGTCAGTTAGTGCTTGAGCTTGAAGAATCAAAGTTATTACTATTTTGCATCCCAAAGTCTGCGTCTCCAATCTCAAGCTAAGTTTATTAATATCATAATTTATTATTTCTAACCTTCACTATTGTATTGGTTGTGGTAATAAGATATATTATATTTAAAAAAAATAAGTTTAAATCTTTTATTATTAGGAGAAATGATCATAAATTTTAAATATGAAAAAAATAAACCGTATTTGATATTGTGTTTTTATTCGAATCGTATATATCAATTTAATAGAATTAATCGTCTCATTATCTTATTATTGAGTATAAAATTATCGAATAATAGAGTTGTGACTTGAATTTCATATTAATCTGACTTAAAATTTTATAGTATAATTTATTTTTAAAACATTAAAATGGAGAAAATTTGAGATTTATGGTATAGAAATTGTCGCATAATTTGAATGCGTATAGAACTATAAAGTTGATTAAAAGCAGATTTTTTTTTTTATTATATAAGTTTCATTTATAATAAAATAGTTATTTTATAAAATATATGTATAAACTTGAATTTTTTTTCCAACATTAATAAAATTTATCTCCTTTATATGTGATTTTTTTTCATTTAAGGTTTTCTAGGTGAAATCTTAATATTTCTTCTATTTATTTTTAAAATTCATGTATTTAAATAAATAATATAAAAAAGTACATATAAATTTTGAAACTATTTTATTTTAGAAAAAATTAAGCTAAATGAATGATTATTATTCTTTGAGGTATTGGATTTGAGCACATTATATATCAAGGATATCTGAGCTCTCATTATCAAATGGATTGAGAGTATTTTGAATATATCCTATCTAGGGATGGGTATGGGTCAAGTTTCAGCCAATATGACTAGACTCGAAAATTTTACATCCTTCACCCGACCTGACCCGACCCGAAAAATATATACCCTCCACCTGACCCGACTTTTTGATATAAAGTTCGAACCCAATCCGATCTGACCCGAAATAATGATAAAATATTATTTTTTATTCAATAAAAACTTTGATTTAATTGAAAAAAATAATATATAGAGGGGTATTATTGTAATTATTTCTAAATATATAAGGTAAAATTATATTTTTTGAGTCGGGTCATGTATTTTTCATCATAAACTCGAATCCGACCCGACTTGACCCGAACTCAAATTTTTTAAAAACCCGACACGATCGGGTCGGGTCGGAACCCGTCGGGTTCAGGTCCCATGCCCATCCCTAATCCTATCTTACAATCACCCTTAGGTTAATCAAAAAAATATATTTTACCTTAAATATTATTTTTATTTCGCGAAACCTTTTTATAAAATTAGGACTCTATAAATAATTAATGTTCATTCTTCTTATGAGATTAATCTGTGATTCATATAATATTATTTTCAATGCATATATAAATATAAATATAAAATGCTCCAACTATTCTCTAAATATTAAAAAATATAATCCAACATGTCCATATTAAATCACCCCAAAACCCATGTTCAACACTTATATCGTAATTCTAAGTAACAAAAATATAAATGAGAAGAAGAACTATTTCCCAACTCTCTTTGTTATGGAAAGAAGAAATTCCACATGGCTTTAGCCGTATTTGCAGGCAAAATGGCCGCCCAACTGGCCTTTATATAGAGCTTCCCTAACACCATGCCTCAACCCATTTCTTCTCCAAACTGAAAAAACATTTGAAGATCAGTACAAGGAGAAGAAAAAACCCAAATCCTTGCTTATAAAAACACACACAGACATGGAAAGAAGATGGTCTTTCCTCTTGGCAGCCCTTGCCCTATTTTTTCATTTCCATGGAAGCTACCAATGCGCAAGGCAACAGCAAGAAGAAGGCACCGTACGATGCTGCTTCGACGCATTACGATGTTTTGGCACCAAGCAGTAGCGGACGAGAACGAGTTTATTGCCAAGCGAGAGGAGCCTGTAATGGAAAGGTACTCACATGTCCCAAACAATGCCCTCAAAGGAAGCCCAAGAAGAACAAGAAGGTCAAAGGATGCTTCTTTGATTGCAGCAGCAAATGCGATGTCACTTGCAAATGTAAGTATATATGTGCACATATATGTTGTTGGATCATAAACTTGATCCATTATGGGAGCCTAAACCCAAACCCAAACTAAATTGATGTCATTACTTACATCATTTAATTAAAGATGTCATTGCTTACATCATTTAATTAATGATGTCATTGCTTACATCAATTTAGTTAGGTGAGAGTTAGATATTTGTTGAATTTGTAATGGTTTAAATTAGTTTATTTGTGTGGGTGTAGGATTGTTCTTGAGTAGTATAAATACCCCTTCCCATTTTAGTTTTAAGCATAAAGAAAAATTAAGAGCTTCTAAGTGAGTGAAGAAGCAAAGTCTTATAAGAGTGAGTTGTAGTTCTTGTTTTCGAGTGAGAGTACTCTTGTAATATTTGTTTGAGTTTCAATAAAAGTTGTTTGTGTGAGCGTTTTATTTCCAACAAAGTGGCATCAGAGCGAGTTGGAAAGATCGAAGGTCTCGACGAGAGGAATACGCCGCCGCCAGAATTTTCTCAATCTGAGTTCTGACGCACCGCCACGCACCGCCGGAAGACTGCTGCCAGAAAATCGAGTTGACTCACCGAGTTGAGCCGATTCAGCCGAGTTGGAGCCCTTGACCGAGGTGTCCAAGTCCCTCCAAAGTTTTTTTTTTTTTCATCGTTCCGGATTCATCCGTGCAATCGGATTTTACAAAATCTCATTATATTGAGAGATATGGCAAATGGTATGGCACCATTCCAAGTTCCGACACTCAACAACAACAACTACGACAATTGGAGTATCAAATGAAGGCACTTCTTGGATCACAAGATGTGTGGGATATCATAGAGAAAGGCTATAATGAGCCTGCGGATGATGTTTTTTGCTACTCTTACACCAGATCAAAAGACAACTTTGAAGGATTCAAGAAAGAGAGACAAGAAGGCTCTCTACCTCATCTATCAAGCATTAGATGATGATGGTTTTGAAAAGATTTCAAGTGCAAGCTCTAGCAAGGAAGCGTGGGAGAAGCTGCAAACCTCTTACAAAGGATCCGAGCAAGTGAAGAAGGTTCGTCTCCAAACATTAAGAGGTGAATTCGAATCCTTAAACATGAAAGCATCTGAGTCTATTTCAGATTATTTCTCAAGAGTAGTAGCTGTTTCTAATCAATTAAAAGAAATGGTGAAAAGTTAGACGATGTGAGGATAATAGAGAAGATACTCCGTTCGTTGGATCCCAAATTTGAGCACATCGTCGTGACGATTGAAGAAACTAAAGACTTGGAAGAAATGAAGATCGAACAGCTCCAAGGATCATTGCAAGCATACGAAGAGAAGCATAAAAAGAAGCATGAGTTTACTGAACAACTCCTCAAGCTGCAACTCAAGGATATGCATGAGAGCCAACGCAATGATAGAAACCAACGTGGCCAAGGCAGAGGTAGAGGCCATGGACGAGGTGGAAGTCGAGGTCGTGGACGAGGCTGGAATTACAACAATAACAATTCCAACAACAACTATGAGAAAGGAGAAAGCTCAACACGAGGCCGTGGAAGAATTATCCAAACTCAAAGTATGACAAATCTCAAATTCGATGTTATAATTGTCAAAAATTTGGGCATTATGCTTCAGAATGTAGAGCTCCCAACAACAAAATTGAGGAGAAGGCCAATTACGTGGAGGAAAAGACAGATGGCAAAGAAACTCTTCTTCTAGCACGAAGGAAACTGATGGTGGCCAAGCAAAATCCTGGTATCTGACAGTGGTGCAAGCAATCACATGTGTGGAAG